TTTCCTGAAGATAGAAGAGTTTGTTGAATCTGACGTGACATGTTCGTACGAACCCTTTGTACGAACAAAAGTAAGAGAAATTTAGGAGAAGAATACGAACATGTTCCTGCATGAGGTCCAGTGTAAATATCAGTGCAGATGTTTTAAACTGGTAAAATCCATGGATGGAGGTCTGAACTTCACCACAATGTTTCAGCTGGAAAAGCTTTGACAAATCAGATGATCTGTTTCTTCAGATTTAAAAGCTCAGTCAAAGATAAACAGAACCACATTACCTGCCAACAACAGAACTGAGACCCAAAGAACTTCTGGACCGGCCCATCACTAGGCTGGATCAGTCTGCCCCACTGGACTCTGGACCAACCAGATAACTGTTGTTGTACTCATGAGTTTAAATGTTTAATTAGTTTTATTGATGGTTCTTTGTTTATTCTCAGCCTTGTTGTGAAGCTCTTTGTTCTTAAATGTGATATAAATAAAAGTGAAATAGGCAGCATTGTTCAGAGGCTGAAACACATGAAGGAACAGACCCACAGGTGTTCTGTGATGAGAAATGACCTTTAGTTTCACAGTTAATTTAAAAGCAACAGGGAGGGCACCATGAACTTTAGCTAAATGCTATTATGCAGCATTCCTCTTCAAGTGTGATGATGTTTGCAAGGAAAATGTAACCAACCGGAAAACAGTTGAAACAATTGAAAATTCAGAGTTTTGAACACATAAAAGCAGAGGACGCAGATATTCCTGCTCAGTAACATTTCACGTCAGCGTGTTACAGCATCATTAGGCTTTTTGACAGGTTCAAAAGCCCAGCATAAATGTTTTTCTTCAGCTCTGACACGTAGAGCTTTGGACCAAAATTAAGTTTCATTACAAGTTATTACAATGGAGTGACAAGTTTAGTTCAGATACATACTGTTGTGGAAATATTTATTTAACAGACAGAAATACGTGGTCCAAAAATTAAAAGTACTCCGTGGGATGATCAGCTGAGTTTTATTGCAACAACAGGAACACAGAGAACAACACAGAGCCATGAGACTGTCCCCCCTGCAGTTGAGGCCTTATATATACTGTTTAACAAACATCATTATGTCTTCTTAATAAAGCAAGATTTCATACTAGGTCAAAGGAAAACACAAAGATAAACACAAGTGATATCTAAGAACAATTGTTGTTAGTAGATCTTGTTCTGGATATAATCACTGATGAACAGCATGTCATGAAAACTTAGGTCATCAAAGGATGTCATGAATTACTGGCTTAAAAATTATTATTTCCATGGTGAGTTGGCTCCGTTGGTGGGGGAGGATGCCGGTCAGACCTGGCAGACCCAAATGTATAGTGAGGGTCTGCTGGGAACGTCTGACAGAGTCTCCTGTCAGACGGAGCTTCAACTCACACCTCTGGGGGAACTTTGAACATGTTCCGGGGGAGGTGGGTGACACTGAGTCTGAGCAGGCCATGTTCCATGCTTCCATTGTCGAGGCGGCTTTCCTGAGCTGTGGCCTTAATGTTGTTAGTGCCTGTTGTGGCAGCAACCTCGAACCCACTGGTGGACACCGGGGGTGAGGTATGCTGTCAGGCTGAAGAAGGAGTCCTATCTGGTATTTTTGGCCTGTGGGACTCCAGAAGCAGCTGATAGGTATCAGCAGTCCAAGCAGATTGCGGCTTGGGTGGTCACTGAGGCAAAAACTCTGGCATGGGAGGAGTTCAGAGAGACCATGGAAAAAAGATTTCCATATGGCTTCGGGGCGACTCTGGTCCACCATCCAGTGTCTCAGGAGGGGAAAGTGGTTCGCCATCAACACTATTTATGACGGGGATGGTGCGCTGCTGACCTCAACTCGAGACGTTGTGGGTCGGTGGGTAGAATACTTTGAAGACCTCCTCAATCCTACCGACACGTCTTCCCATGAGGAAGCAGAGCCTGAGGACCCTGGTTCAGACTCTCCAGTCTCTGGTGTTGAGGTCACTGAGGTGGGTAAAAAGCTCCTCTATGGCAGGGTGTCGGGGTGGACGAGATTCACCCGGTGTTCCTTCAGGCTCTGGATGTTGTCGGGTTGCATTGGTTGACACGACTCTACAATATCACGGGGACATCGGGGGCAGTTCCCCTGGATTGGCAGACCGGGGTGGTGGTCCCCTATTTAAAAAAGGGGACCGCAGAGTGTGTTCCAGCTATAGGGGATCACACTTCTGAGCCTCCCTGGTAAGGTCTATTCAGGGGTCCTGGATAGGAGGGTCTGTCGGATAGTCGAATCTCAGATTCAGGAAGAGCAGTGTGGTTTTGGTCCTGGTCTTGGAACACTGGACCAGTTCTGCACCCTCAGCAGGGTCCTGGAGGGTGCATGGGAGTTCAACCAGTCTAAATGTGTTTAGTGGACTTGGAGTAGGTAGGTAGGTAGGTAGGTAGGTAGGTAGGTAGGTAGGTAGGTAGGTAGGTAGGTAGGTAGGTAGGTAGGTAGGTAGG